ACTGGGGCGGAGCTGACACAGGTACTGGAGGGGCTAGGGGGCCCTATGGGAAACACAAGCTCAGGAAGTCCACTTTAAGTAAAAAATTACTTGAATAAAAAGTTATGCCTGCAGCTATAGAGTGGTAAAGAAGTCAGTTTTGGTAATCCCATGAAAGCTGCACTGTATGTTTGCTTCCTGTGTTTGGTGAATCACCCAGACTCTGTTACAGACAACAAACTAATGTTTCTATTGTATTCTGTTTTTTATTTTTATTTTTTGAATCAATACCGTTGTAATAATACCTGATTGAAACAACAAAAGAAAATATAATTTGGCCCTGAAATGCAGGAAATTATGTATGAAATGTATAACACTGTGAAAAACGATTGTCCTAGCCTTAATAATTACAGTGATATGTCCAAAAACACAGAAATGCGTAATACGCAAGTTTATTGCATATTTTCTCGTTGTTAGGTCTCCCTTGATCAAGCGCAATAGATTCTTCTTGCTCTTTGGGAAGGCTCTGTAGTAAATGGTGAGTAGAGGATATTTCTTTAAATCAACAACACAATATTGAGCAGTTATTGTTAGTGCAAAAGCCAATCACTTGTATAATAGTTGGTGATGTAGACTGACTCGCCTTTTATAAGATGTAATGCGCTTATTATATCATATCTGTCTGAATAGATAAAAGTTGTAGTTTACATCTTACTGTTGACTTTAAGCAACAGCAATCAAATAGGCTTTTGTATGCAGATAAAAAATAATCAGTTTTTTTTTCTTTTCTTCACAGTGGCAATGTAAGGGATGCAGGGTGAAAGTATCAAGTAGATCGGCACTGCTTAAACATTACAAGCTTAAACATCCACAGTTTGGCCGCACTGTCAGTTTTCCCTGTACTTATTGGTCTTGTCCTTGCACATTCAAGACATTAAATAGTTTATATCTTCACCATAGTAGGGTGCACACAAGTTTAGCTCTGAAACAACTCCATACCTTTACCTGTCATTTGTGTAGGAAAAAAATAGCTAATGAAAGAGAATACTTTATTCATATTAAAACTCATTTAAACAAATTTGAAAATGTTAGCTGCATGTTTAATGGTTGCAGCTTTCAAACATGCATTTATGGTACATTCAAGTCACACAAAAGTCGCCATCACACCCCACATACACTAAAAGATTTTAATCCAAGTGTTGTGACAACCAATCAGTTACCTTCATCTTCTCATGTCGAGCTGTTTGATTACCAGGAAGAGGAACAAAGTGTAGAGGAGGACTTATTTAGTGCAGTACTAAATCCACAAGGACAACCAAACGACCACATTGAGCAGCAACTGGCCACAGCCTTGCTACAGCTGGAGTATTTGGTGCATGTGCCAGGTATTGCAATTGATGGGTTTTTACAAGAACTAAACTATTTACTAAACTCTGCTTCAGTCTCAGTTTCCAGTAGTGCTGTGAAAGAGATTCTTGAGCGACATAGTGTCCAACTTGGAGATAGTTTACTTAAGGATATTACAACTGCATTATGTTCATCCAACCGTGTTTGTATAGCAATTGAGAAAGGAGGGTCTCTGAGTACTGTACATAGACGGTTAAAGTATTACAAAGAAAGATTCTGTGTTGTTGAGCCGGTGACTTACTTGCTAGATGATAAAAAGGCCTCTTTTCAGTATATTCCAATATTGAGATTGTTACAGCAAGTGCTTAATTGCAAAGTTATCTTGGACACGATTCTTGCTAATCATCAAGGGAAGCGCGAGTTTGTTCGTGATCCCTCCCATGAATTCAAATCTCCAGAGGATGGCAGGTTTTATATTGAAAATGAGTTCTTAAATTCAGAAAAATTAACAATTTCAGTTCGTCTGTATGCGGATGAGTTTGAAGTGTGTAACCCGTTGGGCACCTCCAAAAAAAAACACAAGCTCTATGGTGTGTACTGGGTTCTAGGCAACTTGCCACCAGGCTCTCAGTCAGCATTGTCATCTATCTATCTGGCTGTACTCTTTAAAAGTGTTGATGGAAAAAAATATGGCTATGAGCGTGTGTTAGAACCACTTCTGCAGGATCTTAAAATCTTAGAGACTGATGGTGTGTTTGTGCCTTTGTTGGGCTCCTCTGTTAAAGGTACAGTGCAGAGTATTGTAGCAGACAATTTGGGAGCACATAGCATTGCCGGCTTTCTTGAAAGTTTTTCATCTGACTTTTTTTGTCGATTTTGCACTGCAAAGCGATGTGAGGCCGACTCTCACACTGTTGCCTCTGGTGCTTTTGATCTGCGAAGTAAAGAGCAACATAGTGTTCATGTAAGAACAGCTCTTGAGAAAGGTACTCACGTTTTTGGAGTGAAACGAGAGTGTGTTTTTACCAAGCACCTCGCACATTTCCACGTTCTGACAGGTTTTCCACCTGATGTGGCTCATGATGCTTTTGAGGGAATCTTGCCTGTAGAGTTGGCATATTGCTTGTCAGCATTGATTTCAAAAAAGTTTTTTACTCTTAATGACTTGAACAAAGTGATTTTGTCATTCCCTTATAAATGGTCAGATAAATCAAATAAGCCTCACCTCGTACCACAAAACTTTTGCGGCTCGTAAAACTGTTAGGGGGCAAATGCCCATGAAAATTGGTGCTTGCAAAAGGCTTCTTCCCTTTTTTATTGGCCATTTTGTGCCTCAAAATGAAACTGCCTGGTTAGTGTTAATGGATTTAAAAGACATTGTTGAACTCATTGTTGCACCTAAACATACAGACGGAACCATTGCTTACCTGGAGAGCAAGATCACAGAGCACAGGCAACGATACCAGGAAGTGTTTCCAAGCAATCGACTCTTGCCTAAGCACCATCTAATTGAGCATTACCCTCACTTGATCAGTGTTTTGGTCCTTTGGTGGAATCTGTGGACGCTTAGGTTTGAATCTAAGCATAGTTATTTCAAGCAGATTGCAAAGCGCACCAGTTGTTTTAAAAACATCCACTGACCCTAGCTTCCAAGCACCAATTTATGATCGCATTTCACCTCACGTCTTCATCTTATGGTAAAGCACATTTAGATGTACCCAACACATCTTTGTTCCCTGTTGATCTTTTGAATCAAGACATTGCTTTATCAGTGAAGTCCAAATACCCAAATACAACTGAAGTCCATGTTACAAAGACAGCCTCTGTTAGTGGCACAACTTACAATGTAGGCATGATAGTTGTACATGGGTCAGCAAGTGGCATGCCCGAGTTTGCTGAGATCTTACAGATGTGCATCATTAAAAATGAGTTGCACATTATTGTACGATCTATGTATGGGTGGTACACAGAACACTACAGAGCCTTTGAATTAACTACATCACCTACAAGACAAATAAAGCTTTTGGAGCTAAAGGAACTGGCGGACCCATATCCACTGGCAGATTATGTGATTGGATTAATCGAATGGTGACGTTAAAAAGACATGTGTTAAAAGGTTGTTCCATAGATTTGAGTGGCTGTGTTATCAAGGTTTAGAAAATTCTATAAAATAAACTATTTATTTAGCTTAAGCTAAATAAACCCACATTTTCTCTAGTTTGGCTGTACCCAAATCTAAAATCTTCTTGAAAAAAGTGTCAGAAAAGCGACAAAAATGAGCCGAAAAAAAGGATGAAAATGCAATGAAAAAGTTACAAAAACGTAATCGATTAGTTACAGAAAATGCAACAAAAAAAATGTGACAAAAACATGACATGACACAAAGTAACGCAAAAAGAAAACAAAAGGGTCAAAAATGTGACTAAAAAGCTACAAAAGCATGACAAAAACTGACAAACAAAAACGTGGCAAAACCGTGATCAAATAATGTAAAAAAAGTGACGTAGTAATGCAGTCTTCACTTTCAAATGAGACATATAGGCCAATAGGTTGTGAAGTGTCCAGTCAAGAAGCTTTTTGATTTGGGTAAAGCTGAACATGGGGAAAATTTGCTCGGTTAAGGTGGCATGTAAGAGGTTGAACAAGGGCTCTGTACTATTTCTTGATCTTGATTTGTGTTTAGATCTTGGACGAACTGCACATTTGATTAAAGAATTAAGTGTTACTTTTCAGAGTGTTTAATGCTCTCTACTTTTTTTGCAGACCAAGAATGAACCAACCCTTTGTTCTAAAAGTTGTCCTTCTGGACAATACGAGCCAAAGACTGATTCTCTCCAATGGACTCCCCGATGTGGTTGAAGAGCTCGTCGCTGAAGTCAAACGTCAGTGTGGGCTGACGTCAAATATCCGACTACAATTTATGGACCCACTTTTCGAGAACGAGTTTATGAATCTTACAAACACAAATGAGCTCCAGAACAGAGGAACTATTAAAGTGATTAATCTGTCTCAAGACTCATCTTCAGATTCCCTGCCTCTTTCTGAACCATCGATCTCAACCCCAACTGATGACACAACTTCCTTTTCAAGTGTGGACACAGACATTGTCTCTTCCCCCGATCCAGACCCACAAGGCTCTAAACTTTACTGGCCATCCAAATTCATTGTACCGGAGTTCTCGTATGACAGCGAGATAAAACTAGAGCTGGCAAATGCTGAATATAGGAAAAATGGGAGAAACACTCATTCCAGATGTCAAACTCAAATCAAACATCCTTGAAATACTTATCCAACAGATTGTCCGCTATAGGGTTTATGTAAGCGACAAGCAGTTCAACAGTGTTGGAGAGGCGCTCATGTCGAAGCATCCCTGTTTGTCAGAGAGAGGCTCTATTAGTGGCTATGAAGGATGGAAAACCAGTTTGAAGAATAAGCTGGCACACTACCGCACTGAGTTGAGGCGGCTTGGGTGCCCTGAGGTAGTAGTGAATGCAATGGCCAACAAGCCAAAAGGCTCAAGTCCTGCTTTGGGAAAAAAAAAACCAAAACGCTCTGAAGTGAACTACTGCCCCCCATTTCCAATAGGCGAGACAGAAAATAGTTTGGAAAAAATCAGAGTAGAATTACAAGCTGACATAAAGAAGAGAAATGGAAAAGACATTGTGAGATCAAAGATGGACAAGACCTTCTCATATAGAAGATATGAGGTGGTACGGGATGCTCCACTGGTCCAAGACTTCAAAGAAAGATGGCCAGGCCTGTTTGACGTGTATGAGGTATGTAGTTTTTATATTGTCTCTCTCTCTGTCTCTCTGTGTGTGTGTGTTTGGAAACACTTTTTTAACTTTCAACACTATTTACTTTGTGTGATTTCACATTGAAGGCATTAAACTATGAATGAACACATGGAATTATGTAGGAAACAAAAAAGGGTAAAAAAAAAAAACCTCAAAATGTGTCTTAAATTTAAAATTCTTCAAAATCAGCACTCTTTATTGTAGCCATGTTCTGAAGAAGTTATTTGAACTTTCTTCAGTTTAAAACATAATTCCATATGGGTTCATTCATAAATTAATACCTTCAGTGAGAAACTACAATGTAAAAAAATGGTCTTGAACTAAAAGAAAAAACTATTTTTAAAAAAGCGTCTCTTTTGACCGGATATATATATATAATATATATATATATATAAATAAATATAATCAATCAATGTCACACGTGTGTGTGAGCGGAGCGGGAGAGAGAATCATTGTGCATCAGTATTCTGATGCACAATGAAAAGTTTGAGGGTTTTTTTGTGATAATACTGATAATAAGTTTATGCACTGTGTTTGTCTTTTTTCAGATTAACGCTGAGTTCAAGAGACTGACAACCATCCCTCTTCAGTCCCGTTTCCTCTCTCAGTTGGACATCTTCTCTAACAAACTCCTAGCCCTGTTTAAGAAGAGGGGAGGACAAATTGGAAAGAAGCTGCAAGAACTGATGAAATCCATGACAGATGTAAGAAGTGTAACATATTTTCCAAATTTATGTTTAATACTAGTGTCCTCTGTGATGTGGCTAAATCAACTTTTTGAGTCTTTTAATTGCGTTATAAATTTTGCCAAACTATTTTGAACTCCTGGTTCACTAGTTCAGTCCGTCCATTTTGAGTAATCTTGTTTGCAGTGGTTGTTTCTTCACCTGATTAAGTGCATTTTTTAGATATTGTATAAAACGTATGTATTACACTATATTTTACATATGATCATAGATCAGTGGTTCTTAACCTAAAGTTCACACACAAATGGTACCTCATAAAATGGTGACTTTCCAAATAGCACCAGGCCTGAATATAAATAAACTTTATCGATCCTTTTCAGAAAATTATGCTTTTGCAGCTGCACACACAAACTGCACATTCATACATCTATCATTCAGATATTGTTAAAGTACTGTTGATAAGCGGTTATCATTACCCCTTTCCTTTGAACTGTGTATTTGCAACTTGAATTATTATTATTTTTCTAAAGCAAGATTAAATTAGGAATAAACCTGGTATAAAAAAAAACTTTAAAAAAGGCCTGTATCAGACGAAATTTTGTTAAAGCTGGGAGTAAACTATGTCTAAACCCCAAAAAAAAAGTGTGTTTTTGTGCGTAGTACTGTATGATTTGGGATCTAAGCCGGTCTGTTATGCACCCAGGAATACAGTGATGAAGCTGTCGATGCTGGAAGGGAGTGTATTTTGAAGGCATTATGCGTGTACCTGAACGAGGACCCTGACATCTTGATAAAAGAGCATGTGGTGAGTACAATAATATTACCAGATGTTGGCTTTGATTAATACTATACAATAGTTACATATATAGGAAACATGTTTTAGATATTTAAAGGTTTATGTAGCAGCACGTGTTAGTAGCTATGACAAACTAGACCACGCTTTTTCAAAGATTCTTGTTGGGCGATATTTTTGACGCAGAAATAAGCGGCACAAAGATGTTTTTGATACCGGTATACCGGTATAAGTAAATTAAATGATAAGAAAATGCCTTATACCGGTGAAAACGATCATTTAACACTGAAAACGGCAAGCGGAAGACACGTTTGTGTGCGGCGCACTTTGATGACGCATCTGCGCAGCACGTGTAGCAGAGCGGCGTGCAGGGACAACAACAACAGAGCAGAGAGCAAACATGGCTGAGGGCGGCGGTGAAGACCATGGTGAAGACATGCAGATTGTAGAAGACATTGTGCCAAAACGCGGAGCTACCGCAAACATATGGGAGTAGTTTGGGAACTAGATAGAAAGAAGCAATTGTGTGTAACTATCGACAGTGGATCTAATGTTGTGAAAGCAGCTGCCCTAAACAACTGGACTCGAGTGGCTTGCTTCGGACACTCGCTCTCTCTTTCTCTCTCTCTCTCTCACAGTGCCATTGGTAAGCTTTATTTACTGTTTACTGTCATTCATTTTACTTTAATGGATGTGTTTGTCTACATTGCAATATAATTACAAATAAGTTATAATTACATAATTATAGAAACGCAAAAGGATACAAAAAATATATACAGTATTTGATCATTTTGACTATATTGGGATTAGGAAACATAAGCTAAAGTGATCAAATAATTATTTGATAATGCTACACTTTTTATATTACAAAGGACAAACTTTTATATATTTTACAAATTACAAATGTTCACCTTTATTACCTGATGCCTGAAATTTTCAGTATGTACAAAACAGAATTCTCTACAATTCAGTTTTGTTAATACGTTTTATATACAATAGCTGTATTGCACATTTTGCTGCCAATAAATCAGTAAATGCACTTTGAGGCAAGTGTGTTTAAAATTATCAGTGCTAAGTTTTTATAGCTTTTATATGAGGCTTTGTTAAAATTATCATATCGTCATATCGTGATACATACCAACAAAAATCGTGATACATGCTGAGGCCCATATCGCCCAATCCTAACACACACACACACACACACACACACACACACACACACACACACACACACACACACACACACACACACACACACACACACACACACACACACACAGGCGAGTTTATAAAAGTGTAGTGGAAGAACTGACTTTGAAAAGCGCTAGATTTCTTTTGCTGGTGTCGGCGGTGACTTTGGGATCAGAGGAACAGACTTGATGAAATTTTAAAGTGGAAAAGCTTTTATCTGTGAAGTGTCTCTGTCCTCACCTGCCACTGACACGAACAATTCTCTTAAACTGGAGCAATCCACCTGCTTTTTCACAATCAGACAATACAGCCGAGCCGAAGTAAAGGTCACTGCTGGATCCACTCACATCGGGGATAATTAAAGAAAGCATCGGTCTAAGCAACTGGATTTTTGTTGCCAGTTCCCAGTAGTTACAGGAAAACAAATGAAAAAAGCCTGTTTGCATTTGCAGAGTGGTTTTCTCTTTCTAAAACAAAAGTATTGCCTACAAATTAGTATCATCAGCAGTCTTATTAATAATAGTAATAAGGCATTGGTTTTATACAGCAATTTTTTTGGAGACTCAGCTTCAGTCCATACACGTGGTGATTAACTACAACTGTAGCCACAGCTGCCCTGGGGCACACTGACAGAAGCGAGTAATCACACACACCAGACTCATTCTAGTGTGGGTGAAGTGTCTTGCCCAGGGACACACCACTTGTTTTTACTTTACAGCTGCCCCACTGTGGCTCCTGGTGTTTCCAGAGGTCTCCCATTACAATACTAACCAGACCCTGCCCTGCTTGGCTTCAGAGGTCTGACAGGATCTGGCTTTCATCTGCAAATATAGCCACACTCTTCATACTTCTTAATGTGTATCCACCAGTACAGTGGCCCCCATATGACTTACATTAATTCCATTTTTTTTATGATCGTTCGCAGAGATAGCCACAAGAAGCCACCCAATCAACAAACAGACCATCTCCACGGAAAATTTTTGGGTGGCTGAGTGGTTAGCACTCTCGCTTCTCAGCAAGAAGCTCCTGGCTTCAAATCCCGGTTGGAACGGGGCCTCTGAGTGAAGTTTGCATGTTCTCCCTGTATCTGCGTAGGTTTCCTTCGGGTGCTCCGGTTTCCCCTACCACTAAAAACATATACAATAGGTCTTGCATGTACCTCCTGTACTGGCAACCCCACTCCCATCTCTGTGTGAAGTGGGAGACAAAATTGTACAAAAAATTTAAAAAAAATTGTTAACTGGTCTGTTAAAGGCGCTATATAAATCAAGATTACATACGACTTACTTACCGGCAAAACACCAGACAAAAGAGAGGATTGACCTAGAGCTTGTGACTCACAGTTGCCTTTAAATATTATTGAAATGTGAGATGTGAAGAGCCTTAATACAGAATTCATCATTTTCATTAACATCAACCACATCACCCCTGTCCTCCAACGGCTCCACTGGCTCCCCATCACTCACCGCATCCAATACAAAATCCTGCTCCTCACATTCAAAGCCATCCACAGCCTTGCTCCTCCAAACCTGACTGACCTCCTCCAGATCTCCACACCTGCCCGCTCCCTCCGCTCCTCCTCCTCTCTCCAGCTCTTGGTCCCTCCTGCCCGCCTCGTCACCATGGGGAGTAGAGCCTTCTGCCGCTCTGCTCCCCAGCTCTGGAACACTCTCCCCCCTGACCTACAGTACGTAACACCGACTCACTCACATTCTTCAAATCCACCTTAAAACTCCTCTGTTTAGACAAGCCTATACTCACTAACATAACCACACCCTCCTCTGCCCATGATGCTTTTAACTTTGTATTTTAACTGTTTTTAAAAATGCACTTTTTTTACTTGTATGTAAGGCGACCTCGAGTGTCAAGAAAGGCGCCTAAGAAATAAAATGTATTATTATTATTATTATTAGAATTATCCTAGATTTTTCTGATATAAGTAATTGAGCTTTGTGTTATGAAACCAAAGATTTAAGATGGTTTTGGCACAACCCTGTATGTATCTGTGAGCGTCCACACGTCTCCTCTGAACCATTACGACTGCTTGAACTTCAAAAGAGTACATTTGCTTATCCTCCTTTGTCATCCCCTCTCGCGCACCTCCTCCTCCTCCACCTCCTTCATCTGATTTCTAAACTTTTTTGCGTCTCGTCATTTCCCTATCAGTTGTACACATTTGTAATCTCGCGCAGCCACAGCGGGAGCCTGTTATCGCCGCATCAACTCAACCTGATTTCAAATGCGTCTCCTTCGTCGTTGCTGCGGTTTATCTCCAATCTCCACAAAACTGAGAGGGAAAATATTGTTTTGAAGATGGAATGCAGTTGATCAGAGCCGTCGCGAGTTTAACGCGGGGAGAACTTTGCACCGTACGCAGCGTGACGGATGTATTTTGGGAATACGTAAAGACCAAAATAAAACTATTAAGAATCGGTTACTGTATGTGGATAAAAGATCGGAGTCGTCAAATCAGCGGCGCGCTCGCTTTGAAAGGAGAGCCGCAGAGAAAACAAGTTTGGAGACAAGTGGAGGATTGTTAACACTAAGACTCCCAGATTTCTGAAACTACCAGATCTTTCAGTGTGGAGTTTGCATGTTCTCTCTGTGTCGGCGAAGGTTTCCTCTGGGTGCTCCGGTTTCCCCTATCACTACAGTAGGTCTTGTGCCTCCTGTAAGCGACTCCCATCTCTGTGAGGAGTGGTCTCTCTGGTCTGTGAATGCGCCATAAAAATAAGATTACTTACATTTTGACATCTCCAATTCAAATCAATAGAATTCTGAAAAATTCCCCACAAAGTTTTTCCACCACTTTTATTAAAAGTAAGGAAAACTAGCGCTAAAACTAGTGAATATAACCTGAAATACAGAAAAAAAAACTGGCCTTAACTGCCATAGAAAGTTGGTTGCTAAGTGTAAATTCAGACTGGAAGACTAAAGAAGAAGCCACTCCCTCTACACACCTGCGCCTGAGCTCAACATCAGCCTCAGCACAGACCTCTCAGTCCTCGAGCAGCAACCCACCTCCTCCCCATCACCGCTATCGTGTAATTTCTTCGGCTCATCTTTCTTCGCCACCAGCGTCCCGGGGGGTTTGCAAGCTCATCCTTTCTATTCAACTACCCCTCCATACGTCATACAACAGCATTCCTGGCACCGGATTGCAACGAATTTTACGAGTATCCAATCAATGCGTCTGCTGGGTTTAAGTGTCTATTTATGCGTCATGACAATAAATATATTCTAATGCAATCTTTGTCCTGAGTCATTCCAGATTTAAATGGCTACAGTTAAGAAATGGCTACGGTTGAGATCATTTCATAAAAAATAATCCACATATAGAAACCGAAAAAGTGACCACAAATACACAATCAGTCAATACACTTTTAAAACCAAAAGCCGTCAAAGTGACTGCTCTGGGAGTTCTAGTGTTAAAAGAGGAAGTTGATTTCTGTCATAATGGGACATAAAATTTTTGTACTCAAACAAGTTTTCGGAGTGATTCATAGCATAAATTGTACAATCTACAATAATACTTAACAAAAATATTAGAGTATTAGTGTTGTTGAAATTGATTTGATCAATAAACTTGTGTATAAAGGTGTGTACTCCTGCTTACGGGTGTATTTTGTTTGTTAATATCTATGTTATATTTTCAGATTAGAATTGATTGGAATCAATTTTGTGCTTAGGCAAAAGAAGTGACCATTTCCAGCCCAACCTTTTCGATCTGTACAATTGACACATGGATATAGAACTGTTTGTGTTGTCGACCAACAAACTAAGAAATGACTAAACTAAACAAATAGTCTAATAATATTTCTAAGAAGCCGAGACGCCAGAGTGAGTCCCCCTGAGGCCTCACAGGGTTTGATTCCTCTGCGGTAGATAGACTGTGGTTGGTAGAAGCGTGTGTGTGCTCTGAGGATGAAGGTTGGTGGTTCAAATCCTGCTCCTGGCATAAATATTAATTGTTGAGTGGTCAGATCGATTGACACACTGTAAAAAGTGATAAAATATGAGGTAGAAACTGCTTGAATCGATTGGTTTTTATTAGGGCTGGGACTCGATTAAAAATAATGACTGAATACATAAGCTTAAGCAACACATGTTCATTGAGGATGAAAAGGGGATCAGACGGACTTCCATCAAATAATGTATCTGTTATGGCCTCCACTGCACTAACGAGGAGCATTAAAGCTTATAATAAGTTTTTGATGTGTGCATTCGAACTAAAACATCAGCAATAGCAGCTCACACCTGTGTTGCTCCTCCTCCTTCTCCGAGGAGTCGCTCGCTGCTCCTCCTCCTCACACACAGAGTCCATAAAGTTGCTCTATGCTTGTTATAATGTACTTTTGAACAAGAAAAGTCACGGAGCTCGAGTTGGTGCGCCAGTATAATCGGTCCATCTGAAACTTATCCTTCAGTCAGGAAGGTTCCGCGGTGGAAAAAACACATGCGATTAAAATGCGTAAATTTTTTTAACGCGTTCATTTTTGTGGCGTTAATTAATCGTAATTAACGCGTTCAAGTCCTGGCCTTAGTTTTTATCTTAATTTGAGTTTATTCTTGAGTACAGACTGTCTTAAAACTAGATTTGCCAATGGGACAAAGCCTATTGGTATGTATTAATTACTATTATTATTTAGATTATTATTCCCCAGACAGAAGACGCATGTGGTTCTTTATTGCACATTCTGACATTATTCAGATTGATGTTGCGCAGATTAATAAAGTGACAGAACAGTAATTCCTTTGAATCCCAGAGTCCAATAAATGTTTCCTACAAGCATATTTTCTCGCTTTTCTTGAGGGAACTGTCTCTTTCCTGCGGTGGGCTCCATCCGTCTCCTTCCCCTGACTCGTCTGTTTCAGCCACTGCGTATATCTGGCGTGCTCCATCGATCCGGGTGTTGTGGCCGCTAAATTACCCATGCTGCCTCTCTCCCAGCCGCGGCCGTGTCCATGGCGTCCGCTGAGCTAATGTCTGCGTGTGCTTTATGGCCTCTGCTTAAACACGGGGCAGTATACCTCCCAAAGACAGCTTAACAGCACCACGCCAGCCTGGCAGATTTAAGCAGGAGCCCAGATCTACGGACGGAAAAGAACAGAAAGACAAGAACGAGAAAGGAAAAAGATGCGTCACGTCGAGCTGGAAGCAGAGAGGAGCTATGGTGAAGTTTTAAGACTATAGAAGGAGACATATCCGATCAACATGAGAATTCTGTGTCTTTTAAATGGCACGTCGCAATCGAAGGCATCCAACGCACCAGTTAAAATACTGACCCCAGGCTCCAATGCATCATCCAGTTTTCATTATTATTATACTCCAGATCTGAACCACTTCCCTCCACGGACCACAGACCTCCACATTTAATAATAATAATAATAAAGCATTGGTTTGATATAGCGCCTTTTAGGACACTCAAACATGTCATTATTCTTTCACTCCGTACACCATAATGATAAACTACTACTGTAGCCGCAGCTGCCCTGAGGCACACTGACAGAATCGGCCCCTCCGACCCACACAGCCATTCACTCACACACCAGACTCATTCTAGGCAGTGTGGGTGAAGTGTCTTGCCTAAGGACACAACCATTGTGTCACAACCATTGTGTCCTTAGGCCGCAGCCGCCCCACTGTGGCACCTTGTGTTCCCAGAGGTCTCCCATCATCAGTGTGAGGGCGTTTACAGCCTTAAAAGATACGGCTGCTATTTTGCAGTTTTCTCAGGTTATTTTTTAGTATGTAACCCCGCGATTAACGAGGGACCTCTGTAACAAACCAAAACCCACAGTTTCACAGTATGTTTTTTGTTCTAAAGGATATATTGTTTTCTTGGTCATGGGTAAGTAAGTAGTGTTTAAGTATATAAATCACAAAAAGAGCCACAAATCGAAGTCCTGGTGGAAGCCTTTGGGTGACTACGGTCCCAGTAAAACTGCTTCTCGTCTCAGTAGAATAGAGATGACATCACCGCCTCTACTGGTTTAACCCGTGCAGCGCCGGTGTATCGCCAGGAGCTTCCTCTGTGAGTCAGACGCCACAGGACTCTTTTCATTCTTTTTGAGCATATTGGATGTGCATTTAGCAATTCCTGGCTTAATGATCTCTTAGTCTTTCCAATGTAAGCCAAGCCACAGGGGAATGTCTGCAAATACATGATGGGATTGGTGTTGCAGGTGATCGTTTGCTGAGATGATTACATTTTTGTGTTGTGCGCGTAAAGTTGTCCATGTGTCTCATTCCCCGATTCTGCGGACTGCTTGACCCAGACATTTGTTAGTGGTTAGGGTTAGGGTAGGCTCTTATCCGTCAGACCTCTGAAGCTAAGGGCCTAGTAAGACTGTGATGGGAGACCTCTGGGAACACCAGGTGCCACAGTGGGGCGGCTGTGGCTGTAAAGTGCCAAAGTGCTGTTGTGTCCTTAGGCAAGAAGCTTCACCCCCATTGCTGAGAATGGTTGGTGGTGGTTAGGGGGACAAATGGCGCAGACTGGTTGCCTCGCTTCTGTCAGTGTAGAAATTACTACTGTCGCTGTTCCGATAATAATTTTTCACCACTGTGAGTGAATAATGACATGTGAAATATCTGAGTGTCAGAAAAAGCGCTATATGAAACCATTATTATTATTATAAAGACTAGCATGTGGTGAAAAGCTGTGGAATTGGTCCTTTCTGAATGACGTGATGGAATTGTTCTCGTTGCAGGCCGCTCTTGTCCGTTCTGCTGGAGCCGTCTTTGAACTGTCTGTCAGAGAGTATAAACGCTTATGTCGGGAGAGACTCAGTTTTGGCCCCGGGGAGCGCTCCATCACAAACCACTCCATCGATCCAAGACCGAGGCACCTGGAGCCGGGCCAAGGATCCTGAGGAGCCAGGGTAGGGACGGGGCCGCTGTGTTTACTCCGCTGTAGAGAGAGAAAACAAGTGTGTTAAAGTGCATCTGGTGACAGCACGCTCTCCGGCAGTGTCCGACCGGCTAAGGGGAGGCAGAGCGTTGGAAGAAATATAGGTGCTCGCCAGAAAACAACTGGGAAGAATTACGTACTTTTCAGAATCAGAGTTATTTTCATTGCCATTGTAAGTAACAGGAAGTCACAAACTAGGAATTTGCTTTGGCTCAAGGTGCAATCGAGTTGTAAGAGTAAACAGCTATTGGCATGCAAACAAAAAATCTTCATAAAATGTCTTAAATCAGCAATATGTAATATGTCTGAACTAGGACTCAAGTGCTATCAAAGCTTGCCTAAAACATGTCTAATTCAGCACTGAACTAGGACTCAAGCACTACCAAAGCAGGCCTCAGGCAGATCTAAAACACATCTAAAAGTAGTCTAAAGCAGGACTGAACCAGGACTAAAGCAGTATCAAAGCTGGGAAGACCATAGGCTTTTAACACTCCTGGAATCAGTATTCTACAGAGAAAGTGAACAAACCGATTCTGCCAGGAAAGAGGAAAACATCCAGCCTGACTCTCACCAGACCCTTGTAGTTCCACCATGCTACACTAGAGGCGTTTCGCTGGACAAAAGGGTCTGGGATTGAGCCAGGAGATCAAAAAATAATCAGCCAATCAGGATCGCCGGCGTGTCTCCGCCAAACCAAGATGGCGGATCACTTTTCAATGCAATATGAGGCGAGATGTTGATAGTTCTATGTTGCTATATGTGTGTTTTAAGAGTCAGATGTTCGTGTAAAGTTTGGTTTAAGTACTGGTTTAAGTGTTCCTGTTACAACACTAGGCAGGGTTGCCAGGTTGGGTGGTTTCACAGAAAGATAAGAAAAATAAGAGAATTATGAAAGCCCAAGTTGATTGCATTTCTTGCAATTGCATTGTTTTTTGCCAAATTATCATTCTGGGTGTTTTTTTGGGGGGCATTCTCACAGGTTTTGGGCTGGAACACCTTGTCGGCATTTGGCAACCCTGCAACGCAGTGAGTATTGGAGTGCTGAATCGTGGGCTTTGATGTGAGTGGTTGAAGGAACACCAATCACATACAAGGATTTTTGTACAAACCCTGCATTCTGAAATGTATCCGCTATGAAGCAGACCCAGACCCTCGTGTGAAGCTCAGTGAACTACAAGGGTCTGGCGCGAGTCAGGCTAGAAAACATCCCCATTCTTATATTAGACTTGGTGTTGAGTCCACAGGAGGACGGCTGCTCTTTCAGTGAAAGCAGAGCCTTGATCGTTCAGCCGGAGCTTCAGGCAAAGTGGGAGTGGGTGCAGAAGGTCTCACGGTGGGCTTGAACCCACAATTTTCAGGCTCAGAGGCCAATGCTCTACCAACGGAGCCATTGACACCCCCACTCTGTAGGTTCAATATACTATTATAAACAATGGTGGCATCCAGTACTTTAGCATTTTGTTCTGAATCAACTCCCATGTGTAATTAACAAAACAATGCACTAGTAATATATGAATAAACAAAGGTCCTGATCCTTCCCTCCAGAATAACACGCACCATGTTGCGGGTGAGTTGGATGCGGATTGCCGTGTAGTGACTGGTGTTGGGGTGACGTGGCTGGCATTTATTAGAGGAAACATGGAGTAAGTCAGACTTTAATTACAGAACGGTGTCGACGTGAGCCTCTGGAGACAGCGGCGCTCATCACAGACCGGAGGAAGAGGAAGCAGAGCGCACACAAACACACACTGCACCGCAAGGACACCTACTACACAAAACTGTCTCATGGTGAAATGTTGTTCACTCAAGAAAACACTTCTCTTTAGCTGCATTCGTGCTTTTGTCAGCAACTTCAGGGACATCCCCCTCCTGCACGCCAAAAAGGATGAATAATAAGTGATATATGGATCAAATTTGGCACAATGTATCTTAATTTGAGCACGTTTGCCAATAGCACAAAGAAAAATTGTCTTGTTTTGAAAAGATACAGAAATGTCTCTCTTGGATTGAGGAAATAAAGCAACAATTCTTGGAGTAAGACAAAATGGCTTCGTCCTGTTGTAGAAATCTAACTGGGATTATAAATCTATTTAATTTAAGAATTAATCTAATGATGCTAATCAATCTGTTCAAGCTAACTAATCTGTTGTTCTGTAGAGACGGTGAGGCCAATGACGGGATAGAGGCAGATACTAGCTTGATATCTGGGCAAGGGGAGCGTGGTCACCGGTCATACTGACCATTCTTCCTAATATCAGAGTTATATCAGAGAAAGACGTCAGGAGAGAGGGAGCGATAATATCACTTAAACTCGGACTCAGAGACGTCATAGATAAACTCTTTTGTTTGTTCCATCCTATAAATATGGGAGAGAGTGAGCACTAGTCAGCAGATCTACTTGAGACCTGCCCACGCGGTTGACTTTGTATTTGCTGTATATGTATACATTTACTGAGATAATAAACCACACTTTGATTGTTCTACAGCTCTTGGTTGTTTATTTTATATTTAATTATTGTGAATTTCAATCCTTAGAAATTCCACAACAGTCCCATTTGCAAATCTTGTTTTAAGACAGAATGTTCTCAAATTAATGTAAAAAAAAAAACACTAGATTCAAGCGATTACTACCTCATATCTTTTGTTTATTATAATTTTCTGCAGTGCAGAACACCAGGACTCCCACAATTATGTAACTACAAGAACTTCCAGAGCCGTCGGCTTGACTGCTCCAATTAAAAACTAATTCTAAAAAATTCCCCCAAAAATATCAGTTTTTCAGCCAATTTAGTAGAATTAAGAAATTTGTAATGTTTTTTTAACCTTTACATTACTAAATTCTAATATAGTTTGTTTAAATGCTAAAGACTAAACGCTAACTGCTGACAGTAACGGTGTGTTGCTATAGTAACCAGCAATCGCTCTACAAAGATGGAACTACTCACATTTCAAAAATTATAAGATCAATTCTTAAAGATAATGACAGAAATAAACTACTATAAACTACTAGAGGTGCAGAAAGAAGTCTAGAAAGGTGTTTTGATGACTAAAAAGGTACATGCACTGAGTATTTACACTCGTCACTTTGACTGCTCTGGGAGTTCTAGTGTTAAAGCCGTTATGGACAGGGCTGTTTTCTTCCGTGAACACAAAAGTATAATCTTTATGACCGTCTCCTGTTTATGGCGATGTGCTCGTGAGGCCTGGGGACCGGAGAAGATGAGCCAAATATTGTTTTTATTTTGATTTATGCATATGTTTCATTTGAGAAAGTATTTATTTTGGTTGTCAGAGGGGCAAATTATGAACTGGATCTGGGTAAGGGAAGGGATTTCTAAATTTAGTGTGTGGATACAAATCTTTTCAAACCCGGACTAAGTTTTAGTTCCAGAGCGGAAGCACGCGGCTCGGTCTCAGTGCCTCTTCTTGTACGATCCATTTGCGCGGTGGCATTATGCGGCTGCGTTGGACAAACATGGCGCGGCTAATGTCTTTTTAATCCTGCCGCTTTGATGGATGGTGCTGAGCCGGGGGAGAGATCGTTAGCTGCTGCACATTAGCGCGCCACGGGGCAAAGCTCACGGCCTGCGCGCGCTCACGGCCTGTGCGCGATCATGGTGCTCTGCTCTTACGCCCTGTTCGCACTGGATCAGTATTACCTGTGGCCCTTTGGTGATTTGTGATGGTTGCGGAGAATGTCTGCAACTGTGAAAGAAAGAAATTCACCCCAACATGACTTCCTGCAATTTGGCCAAACATGGGAGTCCAATGACGATCCTGATCCTGTGCGAACGCTAACCATGATAGATAGATAGATAGATCCAATCAAATACATAAAAAATATCATCTTGACTGTTTTGCAAAAATGAAGTATCTACACCAAGTATAATGCATTTAGTTTCTTCTGTAAGTATAAAACAAGTCCATCGAGAATTACACACAAACTTTTCCAGGTAAGGCTCGCCAAGTTTATTAGTATAGCACAATTCATACACAAGGCTGAAACTGTAAGTGCGAAACTGAACAAGATAGAACCAATTTAATAATCAATAATAATCTTAAAAGGTTCATTAATAATCACAGTACATTAAAATGAGTGAAGATTAAATTCTTCAGTTGAATGCACAGCTAAACAGAACTGTTTTTAACCTGATTCGAACATTGTCACAGAAGAAGCCCTGTGCGCCTCAGAGTCCCAGCAGGAGGCCAGTCCCTGTGCTCCTCAGAGTCCCAGCAGGAGGCCAGTCCCTGTGTTCCTCAAGAGTCCCAGCAGGAGGCCAGTCCCTGTGCTCCTCAAGAGTCCGAGTCGGTTCTCCAGCTCATCCGAATGCGTTCCTAGGCCAGCTGATCCAGTCCTCAGTGTCCGGTCTTCCTCCTCCGGTGAGACGAGCCCAGATCATCTCCTCAGTGAGTTACATCATGAATATTAATATATGAATAAGATAAACTTTATTGATCTGACAGTGGAGAAATGTCCATGTCACATTTGGCACAGATAGAATCACTCAGATTGTGCAAAAAGACAGAAGTGTGCAACATGTTTAACTATTTAGTCTGTGCAGGATATGTTATGTACAATAAGAAAAGTGGAAACATTAGAGGTATATATTTGGTATATTTCTGGTCATCTCACGCAGGCGGCAGTCGTTTGTCTCCTGAGGCCGTCTGATTGGTCTGATGTTGGTGGTAATGCCGTGGCTGATCGCTTCTCCTCTCTCCATTCGGCGGGATTACCAGTGTGTGCGTTTGACGGTAAATCCCAGTTATTTGCACTCTGCACTGCTGAAATCTGTTGCATTGAATGTGACAGAGCACTTTAGCGAGCGCTGGAGCGGTAAATGTGATTCTGCGCGCTCCGATAAGCGCGAGACTTTTAGATCTGAGTCGGAACTGAAGAGGCAGCCGCATTCTCTGCTTAAGGAGCATCCTTTACGTTTAATGCCAGAGCCGCGGACAAGTCTA